GGTCAAGGCTACGCAGGACTGAAGAAACTGTGGCCTTCCAGGTGTTATTGAACTACAGTCTCCAGTATTTCCTGAGCATTGACTGTGATGAATGGTGCTGATGGGAACTGGAGTCCACCCACATCTAAAGGGCTACCAGTTCCCCAGCCATGAGTTAAGGTAAATGCCACCACAATGGTTCTGCATTTAATCCCCCATCCCCAACTTCTTGTAGAATTTAGCTGCATCCTGCTGATATGATGTTCTGTGTTTCAGCCGAGTTATTGTCTGCTGCTGGTATGTGTAATGATATGGAAACACAAAGCACTGCAAATTCAGGAAGACATGGCCAATTTCCATTAGAAATTCTAGAGTAGGAGGCAGAGGAGGAACTAAACACACAGACGCCTTTTTCAGTGGCTGTCATGCATTCCATGCAATATTTAGTTTTAGCTTCTCAAGTCAAAAGACAGCATCTTGTAACTCACAAACCACAAACAATTAAAAATAAAAATGCTCCATACAGATCAATGTCCCACCAACTTCACTTTGGCTTTGTCTAGCCAATAGTTTTGAAAGACAGGTCTTGAAGGTAAGCATGGAAGTCTGCTGCCGCCATTCAATATCACTTTTCTGCCTAACCTTGTATGCTATCTTGTAGTGGCTTGTGACCTTGGCTTCCAGGCTGAGATGTGTTACGCCATCAAAGCAAAAGTAGTGATGCTTGTGTAGAAGAACACAAATGCAATTCAACTCCTTATCCTTAGCATTGCATGACAAGTAGTAGGGCTGTCACTATGGTAAATTCATCACCATGTCCCATAAATCAGGGATGATGGATTACTTATGGACTCACACCAATAGAGTTCTGGCTGTGGGATGGTATAAAAATAGTATGAATTAATTAAATGAATAGAATGAATAAATTCTGCTTGCCTCTGTTCACTTGAAAGAAGCCTGGACAGGAGAACATTGGGGGGGGGGGGCGGTCCCATGCTAATTAGTGAAAGCAAGGGCTCTGCAGTTTCTTGCATGAGCAGAACCATGTCATGGTTTGCACTTAGAATCCAGGACTACGGTTAGTGGATGATATGGCTGAATGCAGGCAAAAGTCCGTGCTTCAGTTGTTCAACCTTTGCTGTCATTGCCTCCTGCTACTAAACTGGCTCATCCTTTCCTGCAGGCCTAGAACAGCTGACACGTTCACAGGTTCAGCCAGTTTTCTCTCTGGTAAAGGAGCAGTGGCTGATGGGGAGGAGAAGCATCAGCTGAATCCACTGTGGGGAGAGGAATCCTACTTGAGGGGATTTTCTCCAAGGGGACCCCCTGTATTGCCTGCATTGAGTTGGGAGGGAAATGTTAGGCCAACCTCAGTCTTAAGTTCTAAGGAGTAGAGGCATGCTGCATTTTTTCCTCTATTTATTTATTTAGAGTATTTGTATGCCGTCCCATCGCATAGACTCAGGATGGCTTACATAAATAACCGTACATAAATAATCTTATCCACTTGCATAGAATCCATGACCTTAAGCAAGCAAGCATGCAAGCAAGCAAGCAAGAAAGACAATCACAAAACGTCATTTTCTGGAGTCAGGATGCAGACATCACACTCAATGCACTTGTCTCTTCAGCAAGGGAAGGAATTAATTTTTTAAAAAGCAAACACGTTGTGGCTTTTGTGATTGAGAATTTCCTGAGTGTTATGAAATAATATGTTGCTTACCAAGGACTAAATTTGTAAGAATGTTGGGGAGGGAGGGGTGAGAACAGATGCCTTCAGCAGCATGGATTCAGGGATGAAGCTAGCTTAATTTCTTCTTCCATTGTTTGATATACTGCACTTCCCTGAAGTGACATGACTTTCCAGGGGAACCTACTTCAGATGCTTCTTCAAATCCTGCACCCTAGAGATGTATTGGATTACAATTCCCAGCATCTCCGGGCAAAGTGGAGGATGCTGGGAGTTGTAGTCTAACACATCTGAAGGACACCAAGTAGGGAAAAGCTGTATGACAGGTTCAACTCTGTGAGATGACCATGGTGGTGGAAATCCTATGGTGGGGGGAACATATCTTCCAGCACTGCAATACCTTTATGTACATCTTTGGTTTGTCCACACTTGGAATGCTTTATATTATTATGTTTGTCTCATCTCAGAAATATGGTACTTATGAAAGGGACCAAAAGGACCAGCTAAAACAGTCAAGGGGAAAGAGAAGATATTTGGGGCTTCTCAGTCTCAGAAGAGCTAAAAAGGGAGACAAGATAGATATTTATCCATTTATGAAGGATATGGAGAAAGCCCCCCCCCCCCTCATAATACTAGATTTTAGCATTATCAAGTTAATTGGCACTGGATTCAGGGCAGACAAAAGAAAGTACTACTTCATACATAATTAACTTAGAACTCCATTGCCATAGGAAGTTGTGATCTCTACTACCATAAAAGGGAATTAGCCAAATTCATGGAGGATGTGTGTTATCAGTGTATTTTTTGGCAGAGACATTGAACCTTGTAGCCAAAGGGCCAAACTCAATCTTGGAGACACAGCTGGAGGCCCACCTATTCCAGTTGTTGGCAGGGACAAAGGCAAATGCGAGGGGATACAAAAATGCCAGCATATTTTAGCTTAAAGTTCTTAGTGCCAGTGACTAAGCCTTAGAAAAGACATTTCAACATTTTAGCACAGGGAAGAAATTGGGACAAAATTGGGAAATTACCAGCCAAACAGGTGATTGGAGTGAAAACGTAAGAGAAACAGACACCTGGTGACAAAGAAGCATGGAGGTTTGGGAAACCCCAGACTAAGATCTTTGGTTGACTGGGTTTCGTCTCCAAGACTAAGTTCAACATCCTCACTATAGGGAATATCCATAGTCATGAGTATTGTACTTCTCCACATCAGTTGCTGTGAGGCAAATAGCGTGCACACATGGGGGTGGGGGATTGTTTTCCTGCCCTGTTTGTGGGCTCCCCAAAAGCATCTGGCTGTTCACAGTTAGCAACAGGATTTAAGATTAGGTGGCTATTAGCATTTTCTACCCAGCAGGATTCTTCTTATATTCTTGCTTGAGGACAGAGTCTGAGTTTGTAAATATGGGGTACAGAACCTGAGGACCAAATTGCACTTCAGAGAAGCTCTTAGAGGCCATGTACCAGTGGCTGGGCTAAAATGGAAAACAAAGAATATGAGGCCAAAATGTTCTTTTTAAAAAACCCAGCATATTGTAGTTTAAAGCTCTTATTGCCAATAGCTAAGCCTTAGAAGAGACATTTTTGAATGGTGAAAAATGCACCAATGCTAGGAAAGCATCAAAGGAATGATGGTTGGGGAAAACAGTGTAGCCCATGGAAGGGTGTGTGGCTATCTTAGGAACCCCAGAGCCTCTCTGTCCTAAATGAATCTAGGAAAAAGTCATTGATTAAGTATATAGAAATAATATCTAACACCACCCTAGGATAGCTTGTACTCAAGCCCAAATGTGGAGATGGCCAAGACTGGGGATTGGAACTGGCAGACATATTTTTGTGTGTGGTACATGAATGCTTGCTTTACAATATTTATATCTACATCAAAAAGCTCTTCTGTGTTCAGATTAAATGCTAACAAATGTCTTTCAGACAAAAATCTACCTCATATTACTGTTTGCAAAACCTCATGGCATAATTTATTTGCTCACTTTTAAAGTATTTACTGCTTTTGCTGCAGAATAATAATGAGGTCCCTTTCAAAATTCTCCATTCTCACAAGCTTGCAAAGACAAAGTATAGATTTTCAACATTTTTTGAGTGTGGAAAGAGGATAATCAATTTTTTTAATGCATGCCCTCTTGGATACAACAAGCATGTAGAAGTTTTGAGCAAATGAAAATGTAATATTGAAGACTGACCCATCATTAATTTTTTTTTTTTAAATTATGTACAAACTCTGCATTGGTGCTAACTCTGTTCTCCTCAACACATTCAATTCAAATCTCTACTTCCGTCCTTTACATTGTTAGAACTCTTCTTATCTGAGAAAATGAAGCTGTGTCAAGGCCATTGGTCCCTCTCACCCAGAGCTTTTCTCACCCATATAACATCTGCATGTGGCTCTCCAAAAGACTCAGACAGAAGTCTTTCTCAACATATCTCCCAGGATCTTTTTCACTGGAAATGCTAAGGATTTGCATGCAAAGCACATGCGCTACCAATGAACTCAAGCATCTCCCAGAACTCATTTATTTTATTTATTTATTCATTTATTTATTTCTGTCACTAACTTGTTTATGATCCCCAAAATTGTTGTGTTATTGGTTATCTTCATTCCATCTCTCCTTCTTCTTCCTTACTCTGCACCACCCTGGTTCTTCCTTCTTTTAAAAAGTGCCTGAAACACCATCTTTAAAAGCAGACTTCCTTTGGCTTACCACTACCCCTTCCTTTGATTTGTTTTCCATTTAAAAAACAAATCCAAACTGTAAGCATACATGACTCTTTTTAATTATTGCACATGTTTAGTTCTTAAGTGGTACCAAAATAATGAGTAGGATGACATACAGCCAGTAGCAAGCGATTTGCAGCTTAGATGCACTCCTGTCTTTCTTGTCAGTTGTAGAGGTAGCACGTGGCTAATAAAGGGAGCCGAGCTCTACCTGGACCGAGTGGCCAGGCGTTCTAAGTCTGGTGCAAAAGCACTGCACATCTCTCCGTATCATGGTTGCCACAGCAGTTTGCAACTCACATTAGTGTATACAGCATAATACCCCATTCTCTTGTTACAGCTCCTCCTTCCTTTTGGAGGACTGCTCCTATTGGTCAGAAGCTGAGCCACTAGAGAGCTTTTAGGCCCCATCCCCTTGCCAATCAGTGGGTTCATTTCACAGGAATCCTGTTTCATAAACTCTGCTTCAGGTTTGGGGTTGTTGGTTTCTTTTTCTTTCCTTTGCGCGTGTGTCCCTGCGTGCGCGCATGTGTTTGAAAAGCATTTGGAAAACTTTAGCATCCGGTGTGCAGCCTGCATCCTCCTCATTAGTCCATCATGCTGCAAGCACTGCTGCTGTTGCTGATAACCTTCCTGTGCCTTGGGCATCAACTCAGTCCAGGCATGGGCTGTCAGCTGCCGTCCGACTGGAGACCCCTGAGTGAAAGCTGCAGGGCTGAGCTGGCAGAAATCATTGTCTATGCCAGAGTCCTGGCGCTGCATCAGGATATGTACAGCATGTACAACTATTTGCCCTGGCAGTATGAATCCACAGACGGGGGCCTCTTTTACTCAGCTGAGATTGAGATGCTGTGCGATCAGGCTTGGGGAAGCATGCTGGAAGTTCCCGCGGGGTCCAGGCTGAACCTGACGGGACTGGGGTATTTCTCCTGCCACTCCCACACAGTCATGCAGGATTACTCCTACTTCTTCTTCCTCAGGTGAGTACATCTAACAAGCTCACCAATGTTTCTGAATTATATAAATGTAAGTATCATGCTGCCTGTGGTTTACTCTTAGATGGATGTAATACTAAGCTATTTATGTAGTGCTTTCATGTTCAGTGAGCTTCACATACTTTGCCTCAGTAGTCTTCACAACAACCCTGTAAGGCAGGTCTCCACACTGCAATGGGGAGGCTGAGAGGTAAAGCCTTGCCTAAAGGCCATCCTGTGAGTTCACGGCAGCGTGAGAACAAGCACGCAGAGCAGCCTCTCCTACCTTGGTGCCTTTCAGATGCTTTGGACTTCACATCTCATCAGCACTAGCCAGCATGGCCAATGGTCACAAATGCTGGGAATTGTAGTCTAAAACATCTGGAGGGCACCAGTTTAGGGAAGGCTGACATGGAGAGTTGGGGCTGTCTATGAACTTCTTTTGCTGAGTGAGGTTTAATAGTTCTGGATTGTACCACTTCTGACTACAGATGGGAGGTGCTGCATTTTTTAATGTTCTCAAAAGCAAGCTGCTCCATGCATGTCATAAATGACACATCATCTTTCTAACTGGCATGGAAATTTTATTATATGCAGCACCTTAAAAAAACATAAAGTAAGAATTCCAAAACAGGACTGACATAGTCTGAGGTGGTACAGTCCCTAGCATTACCACCTCAGCCTATCACCTTGTTCTGTGTAGAGATGGTAACTGGCCCAAAATCACCCAGTGGGTTCATGGCTGACTGGGGACTTGAACTTGAGTCCCCATGCGCCACATCCCAGAGTCTAATCTGAGCACTGCACCACACTGCCACTCTCAGCTGCACCTATCTCTCAGGCTTGTAGACAATGGAAAGTGGGAAAGCCCTACACCTGCTGCCTAAACATTTTGAATAAGGGATGTATATGATATAAATTGAGCAACAGTAATTCACTTTTTGCTGTCAGTGAAGGTTCCTTGCCTGATGTGCCTAAAGGATGAATCTGATGAAGTGGACCATGTCCATGAGAGCTTAAGACAGAATAAATGTGCTAGTCTTTAAGGTTTCACAAAACTGTTTGTTGGTTTTACCTACAAAAGCAAGCATAAATAGCTCAAATGTTTGGGAAGATTCTGTTGAGGGCAAAATGGTATCAGGACAAGTCCCAGCAAATTTGTCAAGTGTATATAAATGGGTATCACTGAGCATGTGTAGAGTGTTTGCCTGCCTTCAGTGAATAACAATAACCAGCCCCACAGCAGATCAGAATGCTGACCAAAGCAGGCTTGGACCTCAAAACTTGTCAGGTGATAAATACATTTAAATGTTATTTATTAAATATTTATTTATTATAAAGTTATTTATTAAATCTGTATGTAATAAGGTGTTTAAAGGTTTGTTTATTACAGTTATAACTTCCTGAATTATGTGCTTTTTCCTCCAAGGGGTTAATTCCAACAAGAATCTAGGATCCATTGTCTAGGATTGTCCTTGAGTGACTTGCGTAAATAATACAGCAGTGCCAAACAATTTTAACTGGGGTGCAAAGGAGGACAGGGTTCCTGTCTTTGATAGTTCTGTAAAAGAAAGAACAGATAAAAGCTATTTCCCCTGGCTGAGGTGCATCTGATGGATCTTTTTCTTCTGCCAAACTGTTACAGACGCTGACTGAACGTGACTGCTGAGGCTAAGCAACAATGTGGTTAAAGCTGTAGAGAGTATGAGAAAATAAGCAAGTTTACACCATCATCGGGAGCAGAACCTAGAGTGGCTTCTTTCCCCTGTTCCAAGATGTGTTGGGTGCATGCTGTGCAATTTGCTGAATCCAAACATAGCCAGTGGTGCAGTGTGGGTGGCTTTGAAACAGTTCCAGAATCCATGGCTAATGTAGGGTTCTGCAGTGGTTTCTAAGCTACCTATCACCATGTGCCTCTCCAGGTTTGGACAACAGAGGAAGACACACACCATGAGGGTAGTTAGGTAAATTGTGCAGCAGGATCCAAACATGTGCAGGACTGGGGAAAAGCATGCAAAAGTTATCCTGATGATCATGTGAACCTGCTAAATGTATCATGCCACAGGCAACTTTGTCTGATCATGCTTCACACAACATGCCAGGCTTATGGGGAGTTGTTTATCCCACAGTGAACTGTAGCATTTGCTAAGCAACATTTTGAATCCCATATGAGGGTTGCGGTGCCATATACACCCAACCACCAAGAATTATGTGAAAGTTAAACAACCATCATGTAATTCTCAGTTTGTTGTTGGCTTATGCAAGGGTTGTTTAAAGCTCCAACAAGCCTTGGCAGCCAGGGTTGCATAATATAGAACTCACTGAGTGAACATTGCATATTTGGCTGTTGTGGGTTCAATAACCCATGATGAGCTGCAGCATGTTGTGCTAACTGGCCAAGTATAAAAGACATGTGCAGGGGGCTATTCTGTTTTTGGACTATAATAAGCAATTGGATGGGTGTTAAATATTGTTAAAATAGGTCATGAGGCAGGGCTTATTACTGGATTGTTCAATATTATCCCTCTGTTAACTATCTAATCTCTGCATTTTTTCACAGGCAATAAACCTCTGGACCTTGAGTTAAGCATTATATGCGAAATGTCCTAGAGCTTTTTGGTAGATCATATTTAAAGAAAGAGCCCAAAAATAAATCTACATTTGGTTTGTATAAGATAGGGGATCTCCAAACTTTTAGATCATATAGATACATTTGGAATTTTGGGAATGTCATCTGTGGTCTCACCAAATGGCTGCCATGGAGGAGGCCTTGCCCATTCAACAAAGCAGTATGGTATAGTGGTTTGAGTGCTGGACTGGGACTTAGGAAAGCCAGTTCCAGGCCCCACTTAGTCATGAAATTCATAGGGTGGTTTTGGAACTCAGCGAAGCTCTCAGCTGAACCCAACTCTCAGGATTATTGTGAGGAAGACAATCACATAGACCAGTTTGGGTCCCATGAGTGAAAAAAAGGTAGAATATTACTGAAACAATAAATAGCTAATTCTCATGGCAGGCAGGAGAGGCTGCTGATGCTCCTTATTTGTTTAGCTTTTATTTAGCCTTCCCAGAGCTCTCCATTTTGCCAAACTCTTTCCTCACAATAGATGTAGCCATTTGGAGTATAAAGCTCAGAATAAAGATGGTGATGGATGAAGAGCCCCACTGACACAGTGGTCACCAGCCTCCCCTGATGTTAGGCATGTCCAGTCAGAAAACATGCATTTCCAAACACAGACTGGTGAGGCTAAAAGAAAAGTAAAAGCAATGTGTCCACAAACCTAAGTACAAGGCAAAGCTGTGACCTGAACTCCAAAACACAAACCTACGTTCTTCTGCTCCAGTGTCCATTTCTCAGAAAATAGATTGATAAGGCTCAGCAGCGCGTCATTTGGCGAAGAAGCAGACTATATGCAGAGGGGGAGCATGAGCTCCAAATGCAAAATCACCCTTTTGTCCAGAAGCCATCTTGTAAATATAGATGTTGCTTGGGGCAAGCCTACACTTTGCAAAATGCCTCCCAGGTTAATATTTTTTAAAGTTAATTAGCAAAACAACTATAAGCAATGATAAGCATGCCAAAAAGCACCATAGGAGGTATCTGCCTGCATATTTGGTGCCTATTAGAATCATTTTGGGAAGTCCAGATACAAGGGGTTGCGGATAACTTTGCCTGATTCAGCCCAATTTAGCTCTCAGGAGTTCAAAATGTCTGAAAGAGACAATGTGCTGAAATAATTTGTGAGAGTCTTGTAAAAACCCTTAACAGTGACTGGGTACAAAATTCATTTGAGCTCATAGTGTAACTTTGGGCCAGCCACTGATTCTTAGACTAACCCACCTCTCAGGCTTGCTGTGAAGATAAGAATTGGAGGAAGGCAGCTTCATTTCCTTGGAGGAAAAAAAGAGGGCTATAAATATAACAAATAAATACATAATACATTTTCATAGGGACTGCAGGTTTTCATGGTACATTTTCATTTACATTTTCATGGTAATGACTATCACAGTGTGTTTGACACAATATACATCCAGCTGAAAGAAACAGTGCTCATTACATTCAGCAAAGGACTGGATGGATTGTAATATAAGTTATCTTACTATTGTCCTTATTATCCTTCTCTTTTCAGAATGGATGAAAATTATAACCTCCTTCCACATGGAGTAAATTTCCAGGATGCAATATTTCCAGATACTCAAGAAAACAGACGGATGTTTTCCAGTCTCTTCCAGTTTTCCAACTGTACACATGGACAACATGCTGTAACTTTCTCCAGTGACTGGGAGATACAAGAAGATAACAGGGTAAAGTTGTTTTCTTTTGTGTTTTCCCTCGAGGCATTACTTAGTTAAAGGCTGAAGTATAGCCAGTTCAGCCAACTTAGGTTTTAGCCATATGTCTGAGAAGGGCATTGTTTCACAGGAACTCCTGTGGCAGAGAGCTTGTACAAAGGGGACAAAACTGTGTTAACCTTTACTTTTATGATCTGCTTAGTGCCAAATTCTGCAGCCTTAACAATGACAGACATCTAAATTATTTTTAACTAACATGCTTTCAAAACAGAGATACCAGATAAATCAAAGCTTTGAAATCATGAAGAAAAATACTTGTTTGCTTTTCCAGTGGAGGAGAAATTACCTATTTCAATTCTATCTGTTTTCATAGAACAAAAGCCAAAGGCACTTCACAGACTATACCAAAGACAGATCCCCACCCCAAGAAACTTACACACTAAGATTTTTAGACAGGGTCTGTACAAGAAAGAGGAAAAATACTGGGTCGTCCTAGACAAGACCTTTATCATGCTATCGCCCTACCTCATTGATGGAAATGTAAGGGGTGTCCATATGAAATCATCTTGTGTTTGGAACCTCCCTGTGTTTTCCCACCAATGCCTCAATCTTTTTTCTTACCAAAAAAAATCCATTAAGGAAGAAGAGATGGATAATGTCACAATATCAATGACTGGAAATGCTGGAAAAATTTGTTTGGAAACACTCGTTATCAGCATGCTGAATCTATAAATGAAACATAGCGTTAATCAACTGAAGTTTTGTCATCAGCATCCTACCATGCTTTCCCAGGAAGGCATTCTACCACAGGCACTGAAGTGTTTCACAATGCTAAGGCTCCAGATACTCTTCATGAACTCTAGAGCCCAGTAACTCTAGTAAAAGAAGGCACATGTCAAAACTCTCAGTGGCAGCACTGGAAACTGAGAAGCAAAAGAGTTACGCACTAAGTTGCAGCTGTCTGACTCCCTGACCTCTTGCAGCTGTGAGCAGATTACAGAGTAGGGGAATGGCTGTTTGAATCGATATTTAAATAGTGGTTCTTTGGCACATTGGTCACACTCCTTTCCTTACATATGCAAATGCTGCCTTCAAAGAAACAATTTTAAAAATTGGACAGATCTTAGTGTCCATGTCTAGCCTTGCTCATTTCATTATAATAATATGTGTCTAAGAATGTGTTGTAAGAGTGTTGTCCATGGGGTCGCGATGGGGCGGACACGACTTCGCGACTAACAACAACAAAGAATGTATTTATGTAGAATCTTAAAAAGTGGATTCAGTACACGAATTCCCAGAGGAGTATCTATATCAGATTTCTCAGTGATAGATCCTTGTGTGAAATGCCATGCTGGTGCAATTTAGTGACTTACAGCTATGTGGTAGTTCTCAGTTCGAATCTCACCTCAGCCACAAGCTCACAAGCTATTCTACAGGGGCTATTATTTTCTTGGTCTAGCCATCCCATTTGGAATATTAGAAATAGTTCTGCACTATTTTACAAGGCTTTCGTAAGGATTATATAGAGCTATAACTTTATACAGAACAAGAGGGAACTGCAACAAAATGTCACAGCACGGAACACCCTTGTTCAGGGTGCCAGCCAGCCAGCTGTGCCTTCTTCCAGCATTCCATTTTCCTTCTCATCCATTTCCCTCTCCTCTTCTCTCCCCACCAAACACTCACTTTGTGCTCATTGAGCATGCTTAGACCTCACTGGGATGTTTTGGGATTTGGATGGTGCTGTTTCGGTTACATAAGCACCCACAGTTAGCACATGAGTTCATTCTTAGTATATAGCAGAGGTGACCAGACTTGCTCAATGGAAGAGCCACGTATGGTGAAAGTCAGTTATCTGAGAATCGCAAGACGTAGATCAGCTCTTGGAGAATATAGGCTTTTCTACATAAGCCTCTAACCTGTTTTAACCCACCATTTTACCAAGGTTTCTGAGATTAAGATTGGTTCCTTTAAACATTTTTTTCATCTGGAGTTTTTCTTTCTCTGCCTTTCTATATGTCCCATTACACAACTACAAGGTGGCATTGCCATATAGCGAAGATACGCAACTATTTTGTAAAGCGGGGGGGGGGGGCAGGCGGGCTGGAGGATGACAATGTTGTGTAAAACACTCAAAAGCTACTAAGGAATCACAAGAGTGTAATAAATGTCTTTTATAGAGAAACCTTGTATAGAAAGTACTTTGAACACTACAAGGGCTCTATAAAATGCTACATATTACTGTTTGCGTACTCTTCTGGTTATGTGGACTCCCACAGGGGTTATGGAAGCAATAGTAAAGAACTATCCACTTTCATTCTCAAAAAGGGCAGTGAGGAAGCAAACTCAGAACAGTGGAGAAGAAGGAACTCTTTCCCATTCTAGGGTGCAGGTACTGCCAAATGAGGGATGTGCTTCTATTACATTTTCCATGTACACATCTGGATCATTAAGTGTACATGCTGACAAAAGGGCTCCTAGCACTACCAATCAGAAGGCATTGTGCAGCTATTCTATCTTTTCTTACTTAATTAATTTTCCATGGTCAAAAAAAATACAGAAGTGGTGTGAAAAGACGAGAATGCTATGAATGGAGGATAACTGTATCTGGATACAGACAGACATGCTCTGCAAATTAAGTGAATGAAGTAGAGCGATGGTACACCAATCATTGTGTGTACATACCCTGAATGAGGATCTCAGGAAAAGCACAGAGCCATGTTCTTAAAATTCAGAAAAGTAAAATATTTTAACTTGCATCCTTGCCATGTGGTCTAAGCGTGGGTTGCCCATTGACTAAATTAGAAATGACCGGGCTGGATTTCTTTAACTGCTGGATAAGTGATCAGAATTTAAGACAACCAAATATTAAGAATGTTACTTACTTACATTTTAAGTAAATGTGGACCTTTCCAACAATCACCAGCATAATTTTCACTTCTTCCATGGACTCAAAGTGGGCATTCTATATGTGTGCAATGAGGAACTGCTGTGAAAGACATCGGGATCTACAGGTTTTGTTGAGCTGAGTGTTACAAGAAGGGCAATCCATTATCTTAGCACTAGAGGCTGTGAGGGTTGTTTCTGCACTAGAACTCAAGCAGAATTCCAGTCTGCTAAACCAGCCAAGACTATCCACCAAATTGTGTAGTGCTATTATTTCTGCTCCCAGCAATATTCATTCAGTGCCACCACTTTTATCTTGTCTCAGATTCTGCCCTGATATCAGAATTTTTAAAATTAAGATTAGAGCAGGGCAAGTTCTTTAAAACTTGCCCCAGATTTACTCAGAAATTACCCAAGGTATTCTGGGAGGAAAAAATCTGAAAGGATTGGCTCACTTTTCTGAGCCAGTTTGAGGGACTCAGTAAAAGAATCACTCTAGCTGTCTCCATTGCCTTCTTTTATCCCCCTCCCCACAAAAAAATCTTGCTGTTGCCCATTGTAAACAATTATCTTCCTCCTGTTCTTATCTCTCGAATTGATGGTGGGTGATTGTGGCAGAAGCTGCAGCACAAGCTTCCTTCCCTCCATCACCTCTGATGGTGGGACACAAAAACATGAGAGATGCAATTCTCCCAAGGGCACCTGGGTGCCCTCTATTAGCTGATGGAAGTGGGCAATAGAAAGGAAGTAGGAAAGCAGCCATAGCCCTCGAGTGCTGCTTCTGCTGCAGCCATTTTAAGGAAAATAAAAGGAGTGCTTTGCAGGGTGGTCAGTTGGACCTTTCATGATCAGGGACAGAGAAGATGGGTTAGAATTTCTTCCCTGGGCTCAGTGTTGTTCTATCCAAGGATACAGCTGGAAGGATCATATCATCCCATATATTTAGTGCTGGCCAGACCTAAGGCCATCATCAGAGGCCCTTTGCCAAATAAAGAGAGGCCAGTGACTACTAACTGTGTCATCTGCCGTTGTGACACCCCAGTTGTGGAATCCCCTCCCCAAAGAAGCTTGCCTGGTGTGCGCTTCTTAGTGCAAATGAAGACTTTCTTTTATCTTCCCAAGCATTTTAGTCATTCAGTTTTTGTCTTCAAATCTGTTATACATTTTTTAGAAAAATTATAGTGAAGCTTGTTTTTACTTTGAGAATTTATTGTCATTTTAAACTTCTAAAAGTTGCTTATTATATATTTTACTGTGGTTTTAATTGCTATAAACTACTTGGAGAGCTTCAGCTATGGGGAGAGAGGTGGAGCTATAGAAATGTAATACATAACGTTAATCTGGGTCAGAAGATAATGGGTGGGGGAGAGGGATTATAATGCTTGCCTCTCATTTTGAGGCAGGTTTTACAAGCCATGAAATTCTTTCTCTCACTTTATGATCTATGGTGCAACTGCATGTAGGAGACTGTGTATACTGCTGGTTAGTGCACCTCAACAAAGATCACAGAGTTGGAAAAAGTATAGAAGGCGGCAACCCAAACAAACAACCACAATTAAGCAGCCTAAAAAAAGGTAAATTGCTCCAATCAAATTAAATAGTCAGGCTGCAGATGAAATGTTTGACTCAGTCAGGGAGCAAGCTAACTAAATAAATGAATGGATAAAATGAGCTTTTGTGAACAGGTAAGCATTTCTGTCTTTTCTAGCAAATGCTGGTAGTTCCACCTCTCATGACAAGGACTATAGCTGTATGGTAACTTATTATTTGTGAGGATTTTATACTGATCATCTAATCCTGTCAAAGCGCTTTTTTTGAGAGCAGCAGAGTTTTTAGATAAGAGTGCTGCTTTTCAAACTGGATTTGTAGCACTCTGCAATTCTTTCATAGGCTTCTTTGTGCAATTTTATAATCCCAGTTGAAGACCTCTTTGTTCATTTAGTTGTGGTTCCCCAGGGGAAAGCTTGCTGGCCTATCTCCTGGATGGATTTGAGAGAGAGATAACATATGAAAGTTTTACTGCAGTGTTCCTTTTCTTACTTGCTGTTTTTAAAAATAGTGTTTCCCCCAGGACTTGAAATGGTGGAGGCTGGTGCTGAGTATTCAGGGGGGTGAGGGCTGAGTGT